TGCAAAATTTTGTTTGTATGTTTTGGTTTGGCTATTTCTCTTGTGAGTATATGATCATTAAGCTAGATTGGAGTAGTATGAATTTTCAAGATTTTGATTTTGTTTTGAGAAAGCAAGAGGGGAAGAAGAGAAAGAGGGGGGAGAAGGTTTGGTGGATCCTAGCTTTGCTGGGTTCGGTAAGCAGAGGAGGCAGCAATAAGAGGAGGAAGAAAGAGAAAAAGAAAGGAGGAAGAAAATAGGTTGAAGAGGTTTTCTTATTTTTTTTATTAAAAATATAAAATTTTATCTCCATGTTATCATTTCTTTTAGTTGGACGATCCATGTCATCATTTTTTTCTAGTTGAATTATCTATATTATCAAAAAAATATAAAAAATACCACATAAGCAAAGTTAACTGCCCAAATTGATGGAAGGACTAACAGAGTGCATTTCATATAATTAAAGGATCAAAAAAGTACAAAGAAATTATTAAAAGATAAAAAATATGCAAATCACTATAATTAAAAGATCAAATTTAACATTTAACCTTAAAATAAGTTATCTGAATCTGGTCGTGAAAGTGGCGTATCTACAACTCAAAATTTTTACTTTTGTCGGTTTGTGTAGCTTTTGATACTCTTTTTTGAATTGTACTAACTGCGTCCGCAGTTGGCCCCACTGCATTATTGGACTTGACAGTAGATTTTTATGTTTTGGTGAAATTTTGGGAATCATGCACTACCTCCCCCCTTCCACATGAGTTTTCTGTCCAATTAGCTATGGTAATGGTCTCCTAATGTATTAAGTTTGCACAAGTTATATTAAGATTGTTTGATTTAAGTAATATTTTATTAATTTATAATTATTTTTAAATAATTAATTATAATACATAAAATATTAATTAAAAATAAAAATTATAAAAAAAATTAACAATAAAAAAATAAAATATATAATACAAATAAGAAATTTGGCAAAATAATTCTCGTAACTGATAAATTTTACTTGTCAGTGTCGCGGAGATTTTAGAATTTTTCTGTAAAACAGTAACTGCGTTCCAATTGGCCACACTGGTCACTGCATTACCGAACTCAGCGAAAGGCCTTCTGAGTTCTGACAGAGCGCAGACCCGAATATACTTTGGAGTTGCTTCAAAAATTTTCATTACCTGTAAAAACATAGAGTTTCTATAATTAAAAGATGGTTTTTTTTATTTTGTATCTTAATTATATAAGATAATAGTATATTTATTATATTTTTTATTATAAATATGTATAAAAAATATAAAAATTAATATATAATATTAATATAAATAATTTTTATAAATAAAAATTTTAATTTTATAATTAAGTTTGTAAAAATATTAATTAAAAATATAAATTTTTAGACACATTTTTTTTAAAAAAAAACTATCTATTTTACATTGCCCCTAACTTTTAATTTTTAATATTTCAGGAAAAAAAATATAAAGAGAGATACGGGAAACGGGCCTCAATGCATTATTGGACTTGACAATAATTGACCACCTCCCGTTAAAGATAAAATTTTGCCTTGGATTCTGTCGTCGAGTAACAAATTTTCTGTACGTACCATTTTATTTTGCCACGGAGATTTCTCTATCTCATGAGGTCCACCATTAATCAACCAGCAATTAATGTACTGTTTTTAGGAGACTGCAGCACAAATTTGTAACCGAAAATAATTTTTCTGTAAAACAACTGCCTCCCAATCGGCCCCACTGGCCACTGCACCACCAAACTTGGCGAAAGGCTTCTCGACATGGTGCAGACTCCAATATACTTTGGAGTTGCTTCAAAATTTTTCATTACCTGCAAAAACATAGAGTTTTAATAATTAAATGATTATAAGTTTTACATTAACATAAAAATTAA